CAATTCGGCTTGGTTTGCAACTCCACGAGTTGTATGTGAGGTAGTCGCCGGTACCCACGGTGGCGGATTCTGTTCGAGAACCTGTCAAGTTGTGGAATCAAGTGCAGCCCTAAGTGCCTCTACCTTCCCTTGCGAGATAGACGGGACCTTATCGTCTTGTAGCTCTATGATGACAGCAAAGCTTCCGTCGCCTGTAAGAAGCTGCAAATGAGCCGCGACAGCAGGATTAGAATAAGACGACGCACCGCCGAGAGACAGCTGACCAAGCTGATTCTCCATCATGGAGAGTTTAACCATGAAAGCTCTGAGATACTGGCCCAATGCTGAGGGAGTCATCGCACCCTGTACGCTAGATTTTCTTGTCAGCATCGCTTGCGGGAATGACTACGCGAGTACCAAACCTGGTGTCTTTGTTGTAAGCTTCGACTTGAATCACATTTTGAACGGCAAAGATGTACCGCTCAAGGGCAACATCGTCCTTGCCCTTAATGAGAACCACCACCTTTTCAACATTTCCCTACGAACGATCTGTCAGTAAGCATGGCCTAACGCACGCATGTTAGACTTACGACGGCAAGCTCGTCAGCCACAGCTCTAACCACCCCTGAGATGTACTCATTCAGGGCAGGGTGACGAGATTGGAAGACTGGGGTGTCATATTTCTTGCGCCTTACAAACAGTTCGGCTGGATATACGTGACGTACATAGAGAATGGTATGTATTGCAACCTCGACTGCAGGCCTACTGTTTTGGCGTTCAACGCTACGTGGGGCGAGGCGAAATACACACTGAACTCGGAGATCCCCAGTGCCGTTTCTGTAGAGTAGGCGTTGAGTAGACAGAGAGTATGCTGTCGTATGCACATACGGTTAAAAGTTAGCGGATTCTCCTCCATAAGTGAGTCCTTCCAGGGGCGCGAGGGGAGGTCGCGGCGGAGTTGTACTCTTACTCCTGGCGCTTAGCCTTGATAGCTTGTTCGGTCCAGCCTGCAGGCCATCATGAGCGCATGATGCCGAGCACTTTGCAGCTCCGCGGACCTCTCCCGGCGTCCCCGATGGCTGACCTCCTCCGCAACTCAAGAGGCTGGTTCACGAACCCGGTGGTATTGCTGAATGTTACCGAAACGTAGAACAGCCTGAGATGGAAAGCCCAGCTGTCCACGTGGCCGCTCCGCTGCTCCACGACGCCTCCTGCTTTGTGCAACGCCCGACCAGGCCATGGTAATGTATGATGTCAGGACAGAGCCTCGAACGCATACGGGGCAACCAGAGAGAAAAATATTGATAAAAATGCATCCGCATCTTACTCTTCGCCTTTGACCATCACCAGCCTCGTTTCTTGTCCTGGTCTTGTCTTTAACTCTCACAATGTCTGACATCGGTTCAGCCCCATCGGGAAGAGCACCCTCAGAGGAAGAATTCGGTAGCGAGGCGGGCCCATCAGGCCGGTCTGCCGCTGCACAATCCAGGAGAGGCACGCGAGGTATCTTTACCCCGTGATAATCCACGACATAGCTCATACGTCCCATATCAAATAGCATGCGATAGGTGTCGCAAGATCAAGAGTCGCTGTGAAAGCGCAGAAGGCAGCAGATGTAGGAACTGCGTCGCAGCAGGAACTGGTATGTGTCCGTCGCGCCTTAAAATAGCGACGCCTCTGACAACTGGGCATGTCAGCTTGCACTTTCCAAGGTTTGTCTACTACATCTGCCAACACTGTCGCACACGATGGACTCATGCACTATACAGGGCCGAGTTTCAAACGGGGGCCACCCAAAGGCTATATCCATGCTATTGAGCAACGATGGCACCAGGTGGAATGCATCCTCGCGACTATCATGGCTTCTCCAAGGTCCCGCGATATCGTCGCAGATCTACGTCAAGATCGTCTCGCTCGAGCAATCCTAGACCGAGTCGAAGCAGGACCTTACGTGAGTGGTATTCCAGCAATTTGTACGCATTCCACTTAACAGATATCAGGGTTCTGTTGGGCGTGGAGGGGCACAACAAGGCGGTGAAGGCTTATACAGTACAATCATGACTCAGTCCGGTATGGGTGAAGACAGTCGGTCGAAGCGTCAGTCAAGACTATCTCGGGAAATTGTCTCCAGCCAAGGTACGTTTGTCCGCTCCCCATATCTTGCACTCATTAGCTTACTACGCGGCGGTGACTTCCCAGACACAGAGATGTCGGCTCCTCCTACAGTCGAATGGCAAGAGCAGCTGTATCGCCGTCTTTCGGGCACCCCTGTGTATAGCTCCCCGGTTACGCCATATTCAAATGTTTCGTCCGAGCATACCAGATTCACGGACTGGTCCTCCAGTCAGCCTAGCCCTGCCCATACAAGTAGGAGCATACCTGCAACAGATGGCGAGCCGTCCCGTAGGCGACGAAGGATAGATGGACCAACTCTAAATCCGGCACACAACCGCCAGTCACAACAGCGACATGACCCTGAAGGTCGGTCGATTGCCATGTCATATAATCTCTCGAACTAACTGTGTCGGCTAGAAATCTACGAAGAAGACGAGTATGGCGAAGCAGTCGATGCGCTTGGACACCTCTCTGTCGACAATAATCAAGAGGTATGCGACATTTCCTTTCTTGTAGCTTGCCGTTAACCCTCGATAAC